GGCACCATCAGCTTTCTTCACCACTTTTGCTTATGCACCTGCTTTTGTCTTCTGTGATCATATTGGGAAAGGGAGCACACAATGGTATGATCTTTTGTTCTTTGATGTCTGACACCTGATCCCTTTGACACCTCATGATCAACATCCAATTTTCATATGCTTATGAGACAAGGGAAAATCCTATGGCTTGGGCCAGGCACACCTTAGTCCTCAAGAGCTCTTGTACAGCAGCTCTACCTGATGCGCATGGAAATATCGCAATACACTCCTATCTCCCCAGAGTGCACGGGCCCCGACATTACCCAAGGCTGGGAAAGTCAATCTGGGTTACCAACAGAGAACGAGCTCCCAATGACAGACGTCATCTCAGGCCTTACAAGACCCGACAAAGGCCTTCTCATCTCCCGGAGCCACCAGGCAACACGGTTTCTCGGAGGTGCCATGGCAAAGGAGCCCCGAGGGTGCAGGGAACACGGGCTGGGCAGCTCTGCGGGTGAAGGTGAGCCTTTCTGCTTCCAGAATCAGAGCCTGAGAAACCCACTGGGCACTTCCACCCTGTTCTATAGGGTGTCTGTGAGTCAGCATCAACCTGACGGCAGTCAGTCTGTGTGTTTTTCAGTTATCCAGGGAAAATCTCCCTGATCACGGAAAGATATTAGAGTGAGAAGTGAAATTCCTGTGTCATGGGAAAGGGAAGGAAAGGGTCACACACATTATCGGTACTACCCTGCTCCTGGAATTTGACTGGCTCCACTCCAAGTTCAGGTGGCACAGTCGAGACTATAGTTCTACCCTTGGCCCCACTGAAGTTGGGGTTCTGTGTTAAGAAACTGGAAGTCCTCCAGGTACTGAGGACTGTAAGATGACTCTGGAAAATAACAACCGAAATCGTCTTCGTGCGGCTGGAAAAGTCAAGTCTCCTGAGAGTTTACAGAGCACAGTTCACATAGAACCTGTCTCTCGTGGCCTGGCCCTGGGCGGGGTGACGGGAAGAGCGGTGGGAAAGGGCCAGGGACTGAGCACGTGACAAAGACAGAAGGCGCTACAACAACAGTAACATGCTCAAAAGCCCTACGACAGTGAGCAAATGGATGCTCAGAGCCCCGTGATCATTTCAAATAGCTGCTGCGCGTGTGTAGGAGAGAAACGGAGCTTTGTACGTTTTCCTGTACTTCTTCCTTGAGTTAAGATTCTCTCCTATCTGAACCTCAATGCCAGGCTTTCTCTTGACCCACAAACACCTACCATCCTCCTCCGGCACCTCTTCAGGACTAAGTTCCACCAGCTCAAAGCCATGCTTGATGCACCATTCTTGAGCTTTTTGTCGGTTTACACCTAAAATTGTACACAGAAAACGGCGTATAAAGGAGAGGAAAATAAAATAGGACCCCCTCTGCAGTGCTCTCCACAGAGCTCCTACCCCCTCACTATCAGTGTGTGATTCTAAAAGCAGGTCCAACAGAGGAAACCACTTCAGAGCCCTAACGTGTCCTTCCTTTCTTTAAAAAAGTTAAATACTGCAAGATCCCAAAGAGAGGCAGCTGAACTACGTTGGGAAAATAAAAGAGTTTAACACACGATCTGTACCATTCTGAGTTGAAGCAACGCATGCTTTTTGCTGAGGGATGGCTCCTCAGGCTCCGTCTACAGCCCTTACCGTGTTCACACACTCTCTCGCAGACCAGGATCATCACCTCAGGGAACCATGCTTCGGCCAGGGGAAGCCACGAGGAGACACTGTCAAGGCCAGATTTCTGGAAGGACGACAAACAAACAGAAAAGGATATGAGAACCCACAGAAAATCCAGAGGAGTGGTGGTTACATGATTTCACTTCATTAGACACCTCTGGCTAAGGGTGGAGTCCAAAGTGTCAATCAGGACACAGCCTGATGGTGCTTCCCGGGGTGTGTGGCCTTCTCATAGGGAGGGCCTGGGCAAGGAATCAATCTCTCTCTCTCTCTCTCTGTCCCTCCCTCCCTCCCTCCCTTCCCCTTCCTGCTGGTTGGCCACTCCCGAGAGCTGTTGCAACTATGGATGCACATGCCAGCCTGTGACCTCCCTGTATGCTGCATCCATGCATGTGGCTGTGTGAATCCGAAGAGGGACTTACAGACCAGCATCAGACTTACGGACTTGAGTGGGACTAAGCTGGGATGTTTTCTTGATATAGAATTACTTCTTGATACACAGCTCTCTCTTACACATACGCATACATGGGTATCGCTGGATTTGTTTCTCTAGTCAACCTGGCCTAACACAAGGGGTGAGGGGGTAAAGCTTCAAGGACCCATGAAGAACAAAGTCTTACTGACTTGTGTGCTGTCAAAGTAAACCACAAATGCTTGCACAGACTCGGCGATCTCGGCTGTGACGAGGAATTTGTTCGGCACCACGCACAGGTTGATGTCCGCCGAGTAGTACTTATTATCAATGGTCCAAGGGTACACCCTCACAGCATCACTGGGAGTCCCTTCTGCCACCAGCTCCTCGCTGCCAAGGATCTCTACAGAAAAGATACAACATACCATGAGCAGGGCAAGGCCAACACGCACGGGGGCTGTTTGCTGAGACGGGGTGAATCTGGTACTTCAGGTGAGGGTGTCAAAGGGGCTTGCACTCAGGAGGCCTTCTAGCCATGTGACGATGCAAGGGCTGGTGACATCATTTAAGTCACTGGCTCTTTGCTTTAGAGACTGCAACATGATTGACAGATTAGACAGAACAAAATCGTTATCCGGGAAACTCTTTTGTCTGGAAAAGAGCAAGAAAGCACAATGTCTGGAAAAAGCAAGAAGAGTCAGACGGCTCCACTCATTTTATCACCTCGGCGCTTCCCAGGTGACGGATGGCTTTAAGAAGCTTCCCTAATTTGTAACTGTTTTGTACTTATTTTAAAGTAGGACAGAGGATTACGGTTAAACTTAATTTAATAAAAGAGAGACACTACATACATTCCTTAGGCCAAATGCTTAGACGTTAATTCAGCTAATGACATGAAAGAAGAATGGCCTTATTCCGGTTACGGGCAGCCTTGCTCACATTTCGAAAAAGCCAGCACAGATCCTGGTTTGAGACAGCCAGCTGCGGCCAATGCTGAATGCGCAATAGCCAAGCAAAGTAAGTGTTTTCATATCACTGTGACGCTCAGAAACCCACGTGCAGCTTGGTAGTGTAACTAACGCAAAACTCCTTGCAGCAAAACCCAAGCCAACGAGGAATCAACAAATATATACATGTGGTCACGGAATCTGCAAAGCATTTTACTTCCACATGGCATGCAAAATTCAGTAGACTGGGAGACACAGGAGAAATTTTTCTAAGTCCAAATCCCCACCTCTCACACCGAAACCTCCAGCTTTCATTTGATACAGACATGGCAAAGCAGCTTAGAGATGCCCAACGGCACGCCAGTCATTGGGTTACCCTGAAGGAGTCGGCAGGAAAACGGCACACACTTCCTATGGACACACACTACTCATAAAAACGAAAACAACAGTCCTCACACGCCCAACTGGCTGGACGCTATACGCTACAGGTTCAAGATGTTTAATTCCAAGGCTAAGATTGTACAATTGAAACAGTTTTTGCTTTAAAAAGAGGTATGGGGAAATCATTCAATCCAGAGATTGCTAAGAACGAGGGTTACGCATTGGGCTGTTAGTCACAAGGCCTGCAGTTTGGAACCACCAGCTGCTTCATGGGGCAAAGGTGAGGCTTTCTGTTCCTATACAGAGTTACGGTCTGGGAAACATACCAGGGCAGTTCTGGTCTGTCCTAGAGGGTCGCTAGGAGACTGAGAATTTAGAAAGTGTGTGTAAGTGTGTGTGTGTGTGTGTGTGTACGTGTGTGTACGTGCAGGCACGCGCATGTGCATGCATGTGCTTAACTGGTAAAGTTTTACCATATGGTTATTAGAAATAATTGGTATTCCTAAAAATGAAAAGCCCCTACACTGTAGGGGGAGGGGGGGGGAATCACATTTAAAATCAATTTAAGCCCTTGGTATAAGAGACATTTTGAAACTAACTTCGAAAACAGTTTCCCCCCCCCCACCAAACTCAGAAATGTTACGTTTCAGTTATTAAGAGACGATTAGAAAAACCTGAGACCACCCTGTCTCTCTAAGGGGTCAGCCGTTCTTTCTGCTTAATTGCTACCTGCGGTCAAGCTCGTTCACTGTCAACAGATTCTACAGCAGCCGCTGTGCACCTCCCTCTCGAAGCACAAGTTCAACGGGAAAGAGGTCTGAGAAACAGATGAGTTATTAAAATCAAAGATTCTGTTTTCATGTAAACGCCGAGGGAAAGAGAATCCAACATCAAACTCTGCGTTGCGTTCAGAGCTAATTTTCCAAACTTCAAGCAGGTGACACAGCAATATGTGGCGATGTTCCCAGGAGCTGAAAACTTGCACACGCGTGCACATACCTTAACATACCAGTAATACCACATATGCAAGAGGGCAAAGTAAATCAAGCAGTGTGCCAACACATGTACCCACTGATTTCTTTAAGGGCGGGGTGGGTAGAGCCACTATATGAGAGCAGTCCTCATTCCTGGGTCATTTTTGTAAAATAATGATTTTTTTTTTAAAGGAGAGAAACGCAGGGAGCATGAGGCGAATACTCTTATCATCCCTATAGTCAGTCTGTTCTTGCGACTTACTAAGCTAACGGGATTGTTAAAAGATGGAAATCAAATCATTTGTTATGCTCCCCCCTCCCTTCAAATCAGTGGCTTCAACTACCATGAAAAAAGAATGAAATATCACCCTCCTCCTAATTACCACTTAAAACAGCTAGACTGTTGAGAATACAACCGAGCAAATCAATGCTTATTTCTCTGAGCCCGTCAAATTTCATTTCCATACTAGCTTTGGATTTTAAAATGATTACAATTTAAATTTTAACACGCAGAAAGGGGCTGTTTCCATCTCTCTCTCTTTCATTTTTGAAACCTAAACGGGACCACAGCCAAGAAAATGGGAAAACATTTCATATTTCACTTGTTTTAGTACCTGCATTGTGTGCTTGTTTTCAATGACGCTTCTCTGTGCTGCCTGAAACAAGCTGGTAGCTGGACGTACGTATCAGAGTTTCTGCTTTGCCATTTTCTTTCTAATCAGACGCTCCCAGCAGCTGCACATGGGCTTTAGGGTCACACCTGGGCCACAGGAGCGCTGGGAAGGAGCGCGAAGCCTGTCTACTCGGTTCTTCACCACTGAGAGCATCGCGATGGAGTTTCATCTAACAAATGTCAATGACTCTGGGTAGAGCTTCCCGCCCTCATTCTCCTCAATCTGGTTGCAAA